AGAGACACACACACACACAGAGACACACGTAGAGACACACACACACACAGAGACACACGTAGAGACACACATAGAGACACACACACACACAGAGACACACATAGAGACACACACACACACACAGACACACATTGAGCCACACACACAAAGACACACATGGAGCCACACACACACACACAGAGAGAGAGATACACACACATACACACATAGATATACATAATAAATATAGACATATGTATATATACCTATATAATAAATACAAGAGAAGGCCTTGCAGTCCCTGACGGACCACCACCGATATATGGTATATGTATTTATTTTATTTATTTATGTATCATTTTCATAAATATACATATATATAAACATATATATAAATAAATATATATATATATATATATACAATATATATTAATATATAAATAAGAAAAAATATATATATATAAATATGTGTGTGTACTATATAAAATATAAATCCACACATTATTATTTTGTGCTCTAACACGATAGACAGGAGCAAAATAAATCAGTGTATCAAACACAGAGAGAAGAACTGAAACATGTTTAATATCGTGGACATAAACAAAACGTTTAAAGAGTTAATAAAGGTTCTTTCCTCTGAGTCACGGTCTGAACCACAGCGACACCCTCAGGTCGCTCTGTGTAACTGCAGGGAACGAACACTCAAAGATCGTCTGAGGAGCAAGATGATGATCCTCACCTCTCTGGAAGGCGTAGACGCTGTCTTTGTGTTGGCACGTGAGGACGACCACCGTCCACCTGAAACTGCCACTGTCGTCCGACATCTTTTTCCATTTATTGTTTATTGTAACGTACTTTTCAAACCAGTTCACGGATCATAACGGACCCGGCAGCTACACGCGGAGGCTATTTGACGGTTACCGTAAGACGGATCACTTCTGACAGCAGACAAACACGGGCACAAGTAGGGGCGGGGTTAGAGAACCAGGCGGGCGGGAACTATCGAGAAATAATTGTGCCGGTAACTGAACTCCTCTACCGATTCAACCGGCTGTCGTCGGTATTTCAAACGAAGATAAACAGTTCACACGGTGCTGTTGTTTTATGACTGTTAGCTCTTTGTTCGCCCTGTTTAGTTTAGATTTGAACCACACGAGCTTCCGTAGGCTACAAATGTTTGATTTGATTTCGACCTTCGGACCTCTCAACGGGGCGGGGAGCTAACGGATAAGAAGCGGTTAACGATGTTGTTAAACTAGTTAGCTGCTTTACGAAGAGCTAAATATCCGTTAAATATACCAGCGAGGTTTAAAGCGCAGCCTCGGTGAAAGTTATTGATTAATATATATATATTAATCTATATATTATTCTATCGGAGTTATTGATCTCACGAGGTACAATCAATTTATGTACCGAGACATCTCGAGAGGGCGGAGCGGTGTCAAAACAGAAGTATTACTCTTTATTTAGGTAATATTATAATCTATATTAGTTGATTATATTTTGTTTTAATAATCTAAATCTGTAAAAAGTAACTAAAGTTTTCAGATAAATGAATTAAAATATTATCTGAGATTTAGTAGAGTAGAAATATAAAGTATATTCAAAGTAAAGTACCTCAGAAGTGTACTTGTAAATGTGTATACTGTGAACTCGTTGAATGTTTTCATATAACGATCGTCTTCACGTTGTTTGTTTGAACTCAATAATAAATGTTTGTCTCATTGTTTTTAAACATATTTACTGTTTTTATACATTTGTTTAATACAGTTTCTGGTTTTTAATCTAAATATTTATTTTTAATATCGCGGTACAAACCGGGTTGAGAGTAGACACTTTCAAAGTACTTTATCACATTTAAATTACTATAAACCTAAATATATACATATATATTTAAGTGTATACAGTTCTTGTTTATTTAAACTTTGATTTAATATCGATACAAATAGCTTCATTTAAATACTTTAGTTTGTTGATGAAACAAAAGATTGTTGAAGACCAAACATTTTATTTAGTATTTAAGTGAATTAAACTTTAAAAACAATAGAACAGTTTTAATAAAACTGAATTAATGACTTTTCTTCACATAAAGTCTGAAATCTGATAAAACATAAATGCATCTTTATTCCTCTGAATGATTAAAGATATAAAACAATAACTGATTATTATCTTAATATTTATCTTTAATAACAAACACTGAACGTCAGTTGAACCTCCGCAGATTAAAAACTATTTTAATGAAACTATACAAAGTGAATTCAGCAGAACTTATAAATATATACAGATGTACATTAAAACACATTCTTCATCCTCATTCATCCTCGTCTTCAGCCGGCAGCGGTCTGGACCTGAACAATAGAAACAATAAATAAAAACATCTTTACGTAGAAATCAGATTCTAATCATTTAGTAGCAGAGAAACATGAATTTACTTAATAAAAACAACAAACAAGATAAAACTACAATTATGATCAAACTGTAAATTATACTTAAAATATTTGTACTCAATAAGGTTAAATATTTTCTTTAATGGTTGGTGTATACGTATACACACACACACACACACACACACTTTAATTTATTATAAAAACAAACTGGTTGCTCCGTGTTTTAGTGTCAATACAAAGTTTTAATTTACTTCCACTATAACTAACTGAGTATCTTTAAGTTTTGGACAAAACTTGTTAATAATATAGAGCAGAACATCTCGTCTCCAGAGACATAAAAGAGACTTCAGAGTTTCTACGTGACGTCTGAATTTAGGAGATAAAAGCTGTTCTTCCTCCGGTATGAAGGACTCTCTGATTCTGTGATCTGCGGAGTCACACGCTCTCATTTGTGCCGAGTCGCTTTCATTTCTGCCGAGTCAGCTAACATACTTCCTGGTGGTCATCCCGCTTCCTCCGGCCTCTTCCTCGTCCTCCTGAGGCCTCTGGTTCTCCTTCTCTGGTTTCATGGGAGGACCACCGAAGAAGTCCCCGATTCCTTTCTGCCAGGTGGGCGTAGGACGAGGACACACCGGGTTGCCTCCGGCATATTTACCTTTAGCTGTGAAGTAAACAACAACATCAGTGTGAGCGCCATGCAACATGTGGGAGGTGCCCGCCGCCGCTAGTCTCTCCCGCTGCCGCCGCCAGTCTCTCCCGCCGCCGCTAGTCTCTCCCGCCGCTAGTCGCCGCCGCCGCCGCTAGTCTCTCCCGCCGCTAGTCGCTAGTCTCTCCCGCCGCTAGTCGCCGCTAGTCTCTCCCGCCGCTAGTCGCCGCTAGTCTCTCCCGCAGTCGCCGCCGCCGCCGGCAGTCGCCGCTAGTCTCTCCCGCAGTCGCCGCCGCCGCCGGCAGTCGCCGCTAGTCTCTCTCGTCATCGTCTCTCTCGTCATCGTCGCCGCCAGTCTCTCTCGTCGTCGCCGCCAGTCTCTCTCGTCGTCGTCTCTAGTCTTCTCAATAGTCTCTCTCATCGTCTCAGAGCTGCAGGGACTCACCAGGAGTGCCTGATTGGCTGCTGGAGGAGGAAGAGGAGGAGTTAGCTGAACTGGAGCCCAGAGACTTTCTGGGTGCAGCAGCTGCAACAGCTGTGAACACAAATCAAAACAAAAATAATGAAAGTTGATCTAGAAACATTAAATACACTTCATGACACGTCATTAAACTACTACCTGAACCAGTGAGATGAGCTTCAGTCTGCAGGATCACAATAAACCAGAACAAAGCCTTAAAACTTCACTTTCTATTCATTCTGGTGCTAAACTAAGGATGAATTACACACCGAATTAACCGGAAGACCCCGTCGGTTAAAACAAACACGTGCATGACATCGCCCCTCGCACGCGCCTTCGACGACGAGCAAGAATGCGTTAAATGACGTCATTATTTAAAGGGGTTTGGAGTGACGTCCGCACAAAGACGCACTGCGGCGCTCAAAACTGGCGCCAGTTTGCGGAGAGACAGCGAGACAGTAAATAAAGATGTCTTCTCCTTAGACCGGTCAAAGGAGACTTTAATGCGATAACGAGACTTTAAACCGTTTAAAATAATGTTTTTGATTGTTTTGTAGGAAACAAGATCGCAGCTAAACAGGCTGTTTGGAAGAATAGTCCCGGATTAAACACTAACACATGCTCATATTCATGTTAAAATAAAGCCATTCATGTCGAAGAATAATCTGAAATGGGAACACCTACGTCACCGCTTCCGCTTTGTTCGGCTCATATATGAGCGCGCGCTCAGCCCGCCAGACTCCATAGTAAAACACACACAACCAGCGTTTTATAATAAATTCGTAATAAATATATATTTATTGTTTGCGTTACCTTTTCTGTATGACGCAGGTACGCTGTCGGCTTTAGTCCTCACCATGTTGGAAGCGGCCTGTAACGTCCAGCGATGTTTTAACACCAACTTTTCTTCACGGAGTGAGTGAAGTCTCGTCCCGCCTCGGTTTAAAAAAGGAACAACGGATGTGGGCGGGAGATTTCTTCTTCTTCTGCTTCTTCTATTCTGGCAGACCAGACACGGAGATGGCGCAGTGGTGCCCCTCAGGCGGAGTAGTGTAACTACAGCGTTAAACATTTATTTATAATAGTTTTCTACAATCTAAAGTACACTGTAAATACTATTATACTGTACTTAAATATTACATGAATGTAATGTAAAAAGTATTTTAGATTTTTACATGTATTTTACATATTTACTGCCGGTGTGATTTACTGTAAGAAATAAGAACAGTTTCTCTGAGTGAATAACTTTCTGTCAAAGTCAGAAGAAAAAGTAAATAAGAGTTTATAAGTGTGAAATTAAACAAAGTATTAAACTGAGTCAGAGTCACAGTATGTGATGGTTACACAGGTCAGGATTATGTGGATTAATATAGTAACTATATCATATTATTTGTTAAATTGAATGAAATCAATGAAGGAAACGTTTGTAAATGAACAGACAAACGTGGAGATAAACGTGAGAATAACCTTCAGTATATCACATGATGTAATGATCTGGTTAACGTCTGCTTTCATCATTTAAAGTGACACAAAAAGGAGTTCTGGTTTTATTTTCAATATTCATCTTTTTATTTATTCTTTAGACAAAATGTTTCTTATTAAAAACATGATCGAGATGGAGAGAACTGATGCGTCTTCAGGCTGGAGGGTCAAATAAAGTGACAAATACCAAAAGATGTGTTAATGTCTGACGGACATATGAACATCTGGACGTCTGTTGGTTCTTCAGCTCCACTCACAGGTCTGAAGAGAGTCGCTGTTCTCCTCTTAGTTCTGAATGAAGACTCTTAAATAAATCCTGGACACAGTCTGGATCGGAGGCTCAGTAGTTGGTCTTGAGCCGGCGGTTCTCCTCCTTCAGCCGCTCCACTTCCTCCACCAGAGACTCGTTCACAGAGTATTTCTCGATCAGACCGTGGATCTCGTTCTGAAAACACAGAACAGGGTAAATATTGACGTCTTCGGAGAGTTGGTGTTGACTGAAAGTCATTAAGATATCAAACTCTGTCGTGTTTGAATAAAGTTTTGAAGGAATGCCTCTGGACCTCAGGACCACAGACCGTCTATAAGACGTGGACGTAGTCTTCTCATTAGTTTGTGGATGTTTTGAAGCATTGAGTTCAGCATTTTTAGCCGTCGCCATCTTGTTGTTTCGCATCCAGTGAACAGGAAGTGACCATATCTGGACTGAGGAGGAGTGGCGTAGAGACACCGTATACGTCTCTGGTAGAGACCTGTCAATCACCGTGTAGCCCCGCCCTAAAGCATCCCCTGCTTTATGGTCTGTTTGACTCTAAATGGACCATAATGTACTAAATGAACATCATGCTGTATTGAAGAAGACTTGAAACTAGAGATTGAGACCATAAACTCATGTTTACAATGTTTACTGAGGTAATAAATCAAGAGAGAAGTAGAGTCATTTTCTCATAGACTTCTACACAACCAGAGGAGTCGCCCCCTGGTGGTCACTAGAGAGAATGCAGCTTTAACACATGAAGCATTAACATGCTTCATGTCAAGCATTAACATTTGGTTCACACCAAACGCGGCGCGATTTTGACGCGCCGCAAATTCGCGTCCAACGCGCCGCCGGTCTCGCCGCGGACGTGTTCACACCAAACGCGGCGCGATTCACGCGAATCGCGCTGGAGAGGGGGCGTGGCTTATCGCCCTGAAACCCGTTCAACTGTCCGCTATTAACCATGGAAAAAATAACCTCTATTTCTGCTTATACATGTTGTGGAAGTCACAGATATCCCGGGAAACTAAACGCCGTCATGTCTGGGTTCATAACATTGTCCAGAGGAGCTCTGTGGATTTTATCGAGCTGTATTCACTGTGTCTAGCAAGCCACACTGCCACAAGCCACATTGTACAAGCCACACGTCGCTGTCACTGTTTACTACAGCTGTATGAACTCAAAATAAACTGATCTGGCTGTGATTTAACAGCAATAAACCGACAAAAAGGGACTCCGAAATAACTACGTAATGATGCCGATTTGTAGGCTACTTGTCTTCTCAATGGAGCGGATGGAGCGGTGCTAGGCTATGCTAACATTGTAGCAGCTCAGACTAACATCATGTAGACATAAATACGGCAGCGTCTATTCATTGTTTGTACCGTATGGTTTACACACACACACATTTATACACATAGTTTGGTCCGGTCTCTATTGATATGAGGTATCGTAGAGCTCTGCGTGAACACAGACGGCTACAGGATTTATTTCCTGATTCAACAACGGCAGGAAGTCAGTGATGACGGGGGGAGCAACTCAACGCTGATAGGCTATCGCGCCACAGCGTCACGCGAATATTTCGCAGAAGTTGAAAAATTTCAACTCACACGTCAATCACATCAATCGCGTCCATCGCGCCGCAAATTCGCGTCCATCGCGACGCGCCATCGCAGATTCGCGCGGCGCCAGTCTCATCGCGTCTGTGCATAGACTTTGTATGTAATCTAGACGCGCGTCAAAATCGCGGCACGTTTGGTGTGAACACGGCATAACACTTGTTGTCTCCTGCTCTGGACTCGTAGTTCGCTATCTGATGGTGGTTCGTACCAGCTGGATGTAAAACTGTCGGACCATCTCGACCTGCAGGTTGACGACGTCTCTGTGACAGGTGTCCCTGAGGAGAGGAAGGACAAAAACATCATCAACATTAGGGTTCCTACAGTCTTTGTATACGTCTTCAAAAGGAAAAGGAGTCCAAAAGGTTTGGGACGGACCTGAAGTCCTCCAGAGTCTCGTGGATCATGTTCTGGATGAAGTGGATCTGCAGGGACGTAAGAGGAGCAGCTCCCGCCTGACCCACCACTTCAGTGATTTTCTGGGAGAGAGACGAGGACACAGCTGTCGACAGAGCTGGACCTGAAGGGACAAACAGACCAGTTAGAGACCAGGAACCAAGGTCAGTAAGACCAGTTAGAGACCAGGAACCAGGGTCAGTAAGACCA